ACCCCTGGGCTGCGGGAGGCAGCCCTGCTCCGCTTCAGCGTCTAAAGGTGGAGCATTCAGAAGCTCCAAGTCGGACCGTTGGTTCTTCTCGCTTTGCAGAGCCTGACGAGGTAGGCTGGCTCCTCTCCTGCCAGCCCTCCCACTCTCCAGCGCCCGGGGCCCTGCTTGGAACCTCCCCTCCGGAGGGTTTGGCTTTCCTGCCCCCAGGCCCGTCCCGCGTCCAGGCGGTGGAGTGGCAGATCCCCCGAGGGCTCTCGAGGCAGTGACCTCGAAACCAAACCCATCCCAGGCCCCCCAGTTCCTCCCCTCCTTCCCCATGGCACTGACCATGATTGAAGGCCTTCCCGTCTTGCAATGAGGCTGAGGCCCCTGGAAGAGTTGGGGGGCCTTCCTCCCCTCCTGCTCTCGCCTAACCAGCGTGGCTTCCCAATTCTGCCTGCCGCACAAGTCAGCATCAGACTGAGCAAATCTAAGATGAAAACCTCTGAAAGGCAGCCGAGCACAATTAGGTATGGGAAGCACGAGGAGGAGCTGAATCTGCAAGAATGGCCCTTTTGAGGGCAAAGTGCTTTCATTCTGCTTTGGAAAGAGGGCTGCACCCTATTTTCCCCTTTAGAGCCTCTCCCTTGATGGGGCCCCAGAGATTGCCTCTCCTTGTGCACCAGACCCACAAAATAGGAGAATCCTAGCTTTGAATCGGGACCCCCAAGGGCCTGGCCAGGGATGCTGCTCCTAAGGCAGAGGCTGCCTGGCTGTTGTTGCGTTCAGCAGAAGCATTTCTCACACCAGGGTGGCCTGGTGCTTGGCAGAGAAGCCGTGGGCAGGAGGGAGCCACCAGCAGGCTAGCTCAGGGCTCTCCAACTTTAAGAGCTGTGGACTTCGACTCCCAGAATTCCCTAGCCAGCGTGGCTGCGTTCGAACTTTAAGGATCGACCTACTGCTATGATGGCGAACCTATGGCAGGCATGCCACAAGTGGCATGCAGAGCAATTTGTGTGGGCACGCGATCCCCAGACAAACTTACCTCACTGCGCATGCACGCACCTCCCGGCTGATTTTTGGCCCATTTGAGGCTTTTTTGGCCTCCCAGAGGCTTGAAGGAAGCCTCTGCAGCCTTTGGAGGCCGAAAAACAGGCCTGTTTCATCACTTCCTGTATTTCCGGAAATACCGGATGTGATGAAACGGGCTCATTTTTTGGCTTCCAAAGGCTGCAGAGGCTTCCCTCAAGCCTCTGGGAGGCCGAAAAAGGCCTCAAATGGGCCAAAAATCAGCCGGGAGGCGCAGTGCAGGTAAGGGGGCCGCGGGATGGAGGGATCGCATGCGCATGCACGGGGGGCGTGGGGGGGGGGGCGCGTGCATTGCCTTCTAGGGTCTGGCACGTGAGCGCACACGCAATTTTAGGCACAGGAGCCCCAAAAGGTTAGCCATCCCTGATCTACCGCATGGCTGGCTGGGGGATTCTGGGAGTCGCGGTTCACGAGCCTGAAAGTTGCCATGTCTGGATTCCCCTGAGCCAGAGGGAAACTTGCAGCCCTGCAGCCAGTGGCGAAGGAGAGGCTCCCCTTCCCGCCAAGGACTTGGAGAATCTGGGCCCACCGCCAGAAAACGAAGGAGTGGGAAACTGGAAGGGTTTGTGCTCTGCCTTCTATTTTTCCATCCTCATCCTCCCCTTCCTCACCTCCATGACCATCTCTCTCTCTCTGTCTCTGCCCCCTCCTCTTATTGTGCATCTCTCTATCCAGCTCTGGAAGAGGTGGGACCCCCACTACGTCTCCGTGGTGCCAGATGGGACCTCCGGACTAGACCGGTCTGAGCTCCTGGCACCCCTACAGCCACTTTGGGAGGGAAGGGCCTTTCCAGTTCTGACCCAAAGGCTCACAGGCATGACGTGCAGGCAGAGGCCCTCAGGAACGACAAGGGACGCCTCCGGGCGGCCCAGCTCTTGCGCAGCGCAGCCAGGCCAAGGATGAGCTGGTGGGAGAGGAAAAACGGCAACATTTTGGAAAGTCCCCTGTTTACTCAGCCTCTCCCCAGTTTGGTTAATTCCATCTCCCAGTTCTGCAGAGTTCTTAGAAACACATAACCTGCATGGTAAGGTTGGACCTGCCAGGAGCAGCTAGAGGAACACCTGGGTGTTTGTGCAGGCCGGGGCCAGGAGGAAACAGCCCCTGGCCTTCGCAGGGTCCCCGGTCTCCAAGCGGGAAGATCCAATCCAGAGTCTCTTAAGCCCTTTGAGAGACGTTTCCTTGCAGCCCCCAGCACCACCATCTCTCTTCCGAACCGTTCCATCCTGCAAGCTCCCCCCCCCCCCAGTCAGGAGAGGCTGATCTGGGCTTCCTGGAGCCCAGCTGAGCTGCAAGGGAAGGTCCCCTCAGCTGTGATTTGGCCTGGTGGCCCTCAGTGGCAACCAGCCGTCACAACAGGAGGACCTGCCCAGGAGAACCGCTGGGAACCGCTTCATTGCTGGAGCCTGGTTAGGGGTTTACTTGCCCCGCCACACTTACGAAATAACCAGGCTTGTGGCCACCCCACAGCAGCCTCCTCTCTGCCTGCAGCCTCTCTTGCTTGGCCTGCCGACCTGGGGATGCTTCTCCTCTCTCTCCTAGGACACCCACCCGCCTCAGGTCCTCCTGAGCTTTGCTACTTCCGTATCTGCCCCTTCCTAAAAAGCCCCGCTGGCTCCGTTGAGTTGCCCCCCTCCCTGCCCTCCTGGCCCTTCCTCCCCATGTTGTCATTCTAAGGCTAAGTTGGCCACTCTGCAGTTTCTGTCAAGAAGGTTCCAGAACCGAAAACCCTGAAGGCGAGCGCCAATTAAAGCTTAACGCACACCTGCTTGACGAGGACAAGAACAAAAAGCTAATTTATTTGGGGAGGGAGGGGGTTGAGCTGCTCTCGTTCCAGGTCTTGTTTCATGAGCTTCATGCACAGAAGCCGGAGCCATTCCGTTTCCAGGGTGAGTGTGGCACGTCCAATAAAACCACCTCAGTGGCGGCCGTGCTTATGAATGGCTTTCGAGGGCTGGGAGATGGCCGCCTTCTCTGCTGAGAACAGCGCTTCTCAGCCTTCCCCCTCCACCTCTTGCAGCCACTCGGTTTTCCTCCAATCCTTGTTTTTGGCCGCTGGGGTGTCCAGAATAGTCCGGAGGGAACTGGACTGGCTGGAGCTTCCGTCATGTCCAGCTCAGGTGCCTTTGCTCCAGCCAAGGGATCGCACATGGGATCAGCACTGGGAAGTGTGGTGGAATCTCACACTCACACAGACTGCGGGGAGGGGTGAAGAGGGGACCGAGAGTAGAGTCCCTGCACTGCCCCACAACCCCAAGGGCGGGCAGGCAGGCAGTCTGGCGAGAATCTTGTACTATGGGGGACTAGCAACGAGGCCTCGGCTAGAGGCCGTTCATGGGTGGCTCTGGCTGCTAGAGGGGGCTCCAGTCTCTGGGCCCCTGGTCGTTAGCGGGGGGGGGGGGGCTGAGTGGATCTTCGGAGGTGCCGAAGACGGGAGGAGCTCCATTCTCCATGCTGAATCTCCTCCCAGCCAGGTGAAAATCTTCTTTTTCTGATTGCCTGACTCTTTTGCTCCGGCATGGAGTCCTGCTCCCGGGATTCTGGACAGGAGCCCCCAGAATTCCCACCTGTGGCAAAGGTCCACTGGATTGGAGAAGGCTGTGATATGCTAAGAGGACAATGGGCCAGTTCCCTTTCAATGACCTTGTGGCGGGTAAGTAGGATGAAAATAGACGCTTACCTGGGAACAGGTGGAAATACTTGCTGTGTGATCTCCCCTCTGCCCTCGCTAGGTGGGTTCCGTTTTCCCTTCTCGGGAACATGGCCTCCCAGCACTGCCCTACCTTGGAGGCCTCTGGGAATAACCCCAACTCTGAAGGCCTCATTCCCTCATCTCCCCTCCAGGGCTGGGTGTCGCTCACTGCAGCAAATGCCTCTTTTTGACGGTTGTCTGCATGATTGCCCCACAATCTGTTCTTGGCCATTTGTGGTGATTTGGACGCGGTGTTGCTTAGCAAGACAGGGACGACTTATTTAGGGTTTAGGTTGTTTGGAGGAGGTGAATTGCCCACTGTGGAAGTGACTCTTATTGTTTTAACGTGTTGCGTTGTTGGGGCAGAAGTGGGTTGGCGGCGAAAGGAAGGTGGGTTTCCCAGCCCACCCATGAAGCGTGCAGGGATGAAAGCATGTTAGGGGCGTTGTGGCGAAGGGCCTTTTCAGGGGACGAGGGGCGGGGAAGGCTACCCAGAAGATCAGAAGGTCCTTTGGTGGCTTGTGGGTTCACTCCATTTGCCCACCAGGTTCTGCAGAGTTTTAGCTGGCACAAATACAGTTATGAATAACTGAGGGGTTGGCTTGATGGAGTTTTTTAAAATTTCTTTATATGCATAATTAAACTTGATGACTAACAGCTTGGATGTGTTTGCTTTTTCCTTGAGATAAGAAGGCAGAAACCACATTTTTTTAATGGAGTTAATCCAGCCGTGGTGGGCAGGTGGGGACTGAGTAGAAGGGTCCTTGGCGCCCTCCAAGCTTGCTTGTTTCCTTGCAGACGTTTCACGACCCTAACTAGGAAACATCATCAGTGATGGGAATGACTGCTACAGGTAGCTCTGATGATGTTCCCTAGTTGGGTCATGAAAGGTCTGCAAGAAAACAGGCAAGCTCGGAGGGCGCCAAGGACCCCTCATTTCAACCCTGAGCTACAAACCTTCTCCTTTGAAGTGGGGGGGGGGGTCGTGTAACTGTTGCAGGAAAATTGGAAGACACAATCTTCGGTAGAAGTGGAGAGTTGAGCCTGGCCGGCCCAAGAGAGCGTGCCAGGCCACAGGTGCAGAGACGTACGTGGGAAGAAGCAGCTCCCAGGGTCACGAGCCAGGAGCCCCTCCAATGAAAGGTCTCCCCTTGCTGACTTTCACGGGGACTCTGGGATGGAGCCCCACCCCTCCTCCGGTCTTAACACAAAGCCACCCTTTCTTTTCTCTCTTGCCCTTTTTGCAGGATGAGATGTCCACCTTTTTCCAATTTGGGGCCTCCATCCAACAGGAGGCCATCACCATGCTGAAGTTCATGCAGTACTACGACTGGCACATCTTCTCCGTGGTGACCAGCATTTTCCCCGGCTACCGGGACTTCATCAGCTTCGTCAAGCACACTGTGGAGAATAGTTTTGTGGGCTGGGACATGCAAAGCGTCGTCACTCTCGACGCGGCCATCGGAGATGCCAAGTCCACAATTCAGCTGAAGAAGATCCACTCTTCGGTCATCCTGCTCTATTGCTCCACGGACGAGGCCGCCTTCATCCTGGACGAGGCCCGGTCCCTGGGCTTGACAGGCTACGACTTTTTCTGGATTGTCCCCAGCTTGGTCAGTGGGAAGATGGAAACCGCCCCCGACAATTTTCCGGCGGGGCTGATTTCAGTGGCCTACGATGGGTGGGACTACAGTTTGGATGCTCGTATCCGGGATGGCCTTGGGATTATCACAACGGCCGCTGCAGCCATGCTGGAGAAGTATTCCTTCATCCCTGAGGCCAAGACCAGTTGCTACGGGCAGTCGGAGTACAATGAGCAGCCATCTCACATGCTTCACAAGTAAGGCTTCTTTTGTTCCTTAAAGGCCCGGGAAAGAAAACCGCCCGTTTTGGAGAGGTCGAGCGACGCTTGCCCGTGTCAGCTGGGCGCAGGCTTCGTCCACGCAGGGAAGCCTCAGCCGCTGCCTCCAGCGGCCTTGTAGGTCAGGCCAGTCTGATAGGGGCTGCGGCAGGGAGGAGGGAAGGGAACAAACCCAACTAGGCTGCTTAATTTAGCCAGGAAACACCCTGAAGAATCTGGTGGGTTGTTGACAGCCGGTTCAAGGGAGCCAGGACGGCTGCAGGCAGCAGCTCCTTCTAGCAAGGACTTGGAGCGATGCTGCTCGTCTCGTCTGCGTGTGGCTGGAAAGCCAGATTTCATTCCTAAGGCCTTGAGCCAGGAGGAGACGAGCCTGGAGCCGGGGATGCCACTGGACGCCCAGTGGATTGCTTTCCTCTGACCTTTGCCGCCTGTCCCACTCAGCCCAGGCTGCCCTT